TCTCTCTCTCTCTCTCTCTCTCTCTCTCTCTCTCTGTGTGTGTGTGTGTGTGTGTGTGTTGCACATAGTCACATGCTTTTCTAGTTCTCAACCAGTGGTTTGAAAAGCTCCTCCTAAATTAAAATTTAATGAGTGGTTTGGGAAGTTTGTCTTTTGGTAAAACCAATGTCTTTTTTTTTTTTTTTTTTTTTTTTTTTTTTTTTTTGAAACGAATGTCTTCAAAACGAGCCAAAAAGAAAAATCATTGCAAACTTCATTCTTGAGATGGCATTATATTCATCTCTGGTTTCTTCGTCTTCATAACCAGATAAGCATTGGGTTTGAGTGTGGTGGATGGCAATAGTTTTTCAGGGTGGGGAAGATGTTTGAGGGTGCACATCTTAAGAGAAGGTTAAAAAGCAGGGGAGGATATCTAATGGACAGAGAGACAAAGAACATGGAAGGTTGACAAGAAGTAGAACAAGGGGGTAGTCAAGGAGTGGCGAGAAAATCATGAGCCAGTGAACCATTTAAATCTCTTTTCGAATGGGGCAGAGGGCTCGTAGTACCTACCACACTTCGCACCTACCAACAAAGGGGAAGGAGCCTAAATTCACGGACTTGGACAACGAAACCAAGCACGTCGCATACTTGAGAGTTAAGGACACTTCTTCGTGTGTTGTACGCTTGATGAATGGGACTAAGCAGGGCGCTAGCCAGACTTCGGAGGCCTCTGCTTTGACATATCACTGAAAGATAGGTAACAACGGATACGACAAATTTTGGACAGAGATGGTTGTTTTCCACAAACCACAAGGATATAGTTACTTTCATGGCTGTGCCGGCAACCGGCCGGTTCGACCGGGCCGGATCCAACCGGGCCGGTTGGACCCCCGGTGGTTCAACCAGAATTCCGGTTGGGCCCAAAAGTGGGTCAAAATTGTTTGTTTGTTTTTTTTGAAAACATGGTTGGACTGCGCTCGCTGAGATCTCCCTGAATCCGCAAAGAAAACTTTGAACAGAGAAGTTTCGTTTGGGGGGTTGGGGGGGGGGAGGATTTCAGGGGTTGAGGGGTTTATGGTGAGGGTGTTGGTGGAGGGGTTTCAGCAACCACAGGCTTCAGCAGACATTGACAACAACGTACCTGGCTTTCTGCAAACGTTAACGTCCACCCAAAAAAATTGAAAAGGGTGCTGGAGGTGTTACTGGCAGGGTAGGGACGGTACTTCCCACCCAAAAACTTTGAAAAGGGGGGKGGGGGTGATAGTGTTAGGGGGTGCTTGTCACTGCTGTCTGGTCCAAGTTGCCCTCGATACTGGTAGGGTGATGGTCCTGAGTGCTGGTCACACTGAGGTAGGATAGTAGGGATACGGGGTGCACTGGGAGCATTAACATGGGGAAGGGTAGGGAATGTGGCCTACCCTGTCAGCCCAACCACCAACTGCTGCTGCCAGCAATCACCAGGGATCTAGTCCTTGGCCTCTACAACACCCTGGGCCCGGTTCGGGTTGGGGGAGGGTCCCCCGGTCCTACCGGGT